GGCAGGTTTGAAATAGATGACTGTGGGACTAAAAATACAAGACTAAAACACTTGGAGGGATGGAGACAACATCACATTGTTAGCTGAAAGTAAGATTAGAAGAGCTCATTAGGAAAGTAGACTGGAAAGTGTAAAATCTGAGTTAATATTAAATATAAAGAAGACAATAATAACAACTAGAATGTGTATTAAATTTGTTGTGAATGGTGAAAAGTGAAGGTGGTAGGTAGGTGGCCTTTGCTAGAAAAGTGAAGAAGAGCCAATTTCCTGGAAGGAAAATGAAGAGGAACAATTCAATATTAACAAAATAGCTAATCTTTTTTTGAAATTAAAGTAGTAATAGGTTTCCATCTAAAGAAAAGAAGAAGCACAAGTCCAAGTCTGTTACAATGCAACAGATGTGATTTGCCACTGGACTTGTAGTCCTTCTCTTGACAAAGCATGTGTTGGGGGGAAAAAAGCTGGAATAAAGATTGTGATTCATTTGAAAAGCTCTGAACATTAATAGTATGTCATAACTAAGTTGGGACTGATAATAAATAACTACATGGAAGACAGAATTGCAAAGATGAGCCCATCTTATTAGTGTCAGATTTCACTTAGCTCTTGTGACAGAAAGAATGTAAAAAATCTACCCCAGATAATATTTTGTTCTCTGCTGTCTAAAGAAAGTGAATTGGCATAGCACTTGTGTATATATACCTATGTTTAAATCACAAAACAGGGCCATAAGCTTTCAACGTAACAGTTATCAGCTTAAAGTGAAGGTGGATGCTATGCAGCCAATGCAGTTCTTTAAAAGAAAATGATTTAATCTAGAAATATTCCTTTTGCTTTGCATTGGTTCTTGGTACAATCCTGTATATAATTTCTTCAGAAATAATTTTCCTTTTGATCAAAGATATTCCAAGATAAGTGTATACACTAACATCTGCTTTTCCTATAAAATAATCTGAAGAATATTTATCATATATCTGTGGCAATCGATAAAACTCTCAGTAATTACAAAAAAGGCATTACAATCAACATATACACAATGCACCTAAAATTACAAAGGTCATAAAAGCTAATATAAATCAGTATAGGGCATCAGCCTCTTTAATAACTTAGTTTCCAAAAGTTTATGGGAGGCTAAAAGTGAATGTATTTCTGACTTTCCATTTTGAACTGCAGCTCAAAATATTATTTCTCACCTTGTTTTTCATATTGCAGATTTGTATTTGTATTTAACTTTATTTATATGCCGCCCAATCCCAAAGGACTCAATTTGTAAACTCAAAGTCAACTCAGAAGATGGTTATAGTTTGATAAAACTATATCCATTGTAAGGTGAAGAGGTGATGGAAGTTTAGTTTATTGAATGTACGCAATGAAGTGTCCCATGTCCCCTGCTCAATGTAGAGAAAATTTATGCCCCTTCTATGCTAAGATCTGAAACTCAAATACTTTGGCCACTGAATGAGAGGAGAGGACTCATTGGAAAAGCCCCTGATATTGAGAAAGATTGAAGGCAAAAGAAGAAGGGGACGGCAGAGGATGAGATGGCTAGATAGTGTCATTGAAGCATTGGGCCTGGGTTTGGGCAAACTCTGCATGATAATGGAGGACAGGAGGCCTGGCCTGCTGTGGTCCATGGCATTGTGGAGAGTCGGACATGACTTAGCGACTGAACAACAAAATCCCAAGACCTGTGCTAAGGGAAGCAGACCTACTGATTGCCAAGTCAGATTCCTGGTGACTTACAACACTCTGTGAAAAAACCAACATAAAAACACAGCAATAATAAACAAACAACAAAAAACCAATAGCAAAACAGATTAAACATACCATCCTAAATTTTGAAGACATTGCAAGTTTAACCAGCACCCTCAAGGCCAAACTTTTCCTTCCAGAAAGGAGCTGCATCTTTGTAATTTGAGTCCACTAGTTCAAGTATTTCCCATCCAGGGCAAAAGAAAAACTTGTTTCAGCAGCTACAAAACAGCTCTTCAAATACTTCAAAGTTGCTATCCTGTCATCTCAATCTCCAGGCTAAACATACAGCGGTCTTTCTGTCTTCCCTCACAGGAGCTGCTGTTGAGGCCTCTTACCATCTCTGACATCCTTGTCTGTATGTCTGGATATATTTCAGATTTTGACACACACCTTAAACTGGCACATGCAAAATTAGACACAATTGAGCTATGTCTGAAACAAAGTGGAGCTGTCCTATTAGATCTCACAAACCGGATGTTATACTTCAGTTGATGCTACCTAGAAATGCCTTTGCCTTTTAAACTGCTATACCCCCTTGCTGACTCATACTCAGGTTTATGTCCACTAGCCCAGTAAACTAGATCAGGGGTCCTCAACCCCTGGTCCGTGGACCGGCATTGAGCAGTGGCATGCCAGAAACCGGGCCACACAAACAAGCAATGTTCATGGAAGGCAGGCAGCACGTGAAACCACACCTCCTCTGGTCCACAAAAAAACCTCTCTCCACAGAACCGGTTTCTGGTGCCCAAAAGGCTGGGGCCATCTGAACTAGATGGTTGATATTTACTGGCTATATCTCAAGGTATAGCTACCATGCTGATCAAGGAGGAAGGAATTAATAAGGTCACCCTGATGGATTTATCAATAACATTCCAATGTCATTCTCTAATTTACACTGTTTCTGCCTTTGTTGTGTCTTTGAAAAATAGTAGGCTGAGCACTACTTATTGAGTAGTAGTAGTAGTAATGGTAGTAATGTTTAGACTCTAGAAAGAGTGCAGAGGAAAGCAACAAAGATCATTAGAGGACTGGAGGCTAAACTGTACAATGAATGGTTATGAGAACTGGGAATATCTAATCTAATGAAAGGAAGGATAAGGGGTAACATGATAGCAGTCTTCCAATATTTGAGGGGTTTACAACCTATTCTCCAATGCACTTAAGGGCAAGACAAGAAGTAAACAATAGAAGTTTAATGAAGAGCGATCCAACCTAGAATTAAGGAGAAATTTCCTGTCAGTGAGAACAATTCGGTGGAATTACTTGCCTCCAGAAGTTTTGGCTGCTCCATCACTGGAGGTTTTTAAAAAGAGATTGGACAGCCATTTGTCCAAAATGGTATAGAGTCTCTTGCTTAAGCAGGAGGTTGGACTAGAAGACCTCCAAGGTTTCTTCCAACTCTGTCATTCTGTATTCTGCATATAAACTATGGTTCTGTTTTTCATTTATCTCCCACCTTTATTCACTAGAAGCATTCAGGGTAGCTAACCCAAATTAAGTATTGACTTCCATCTTGTTCTACAGAACATACCCTCTAGGTATGTTGGGACTGAAACTCCAAAAATGAGTAGCCTCAAAACATCTAAAGAACAAGCTGAGAAGGTTAATGTAGACATGTACCCTGCCCCTTTTTAAGGAGAAGTGTAAAGAGGAGGATAGGAGGTTTGATTTTGACTTCTTGGGAGTAAGTATTAAAATCGTACAAGCAGGAGTTATCATTATTTATAACTCTATAATTATTATGGAGTTTTTCCACATAGGAATGCCCTAAGAAGCTCAGAGTGTAAAAACCAACTATCTTCCAATAAATAGCCACAGTATGGGTTGTTGTCGGATTAGACTGCCAATTGGGAATGGGAATCCCTTTTGCCATCATAACCTCAGGGCTGCATGGAGAGGCAGGAGTCCCAGCTAAGGAGCAGGGGGAATGCGGGTGCTGCAGGCAGGAGCTGGGGAGAATGGACAGGCCAACAACAACATGGTGGATGGCCACTGGGAAGCATGGGCAGACAGAGGGAAGATGTTAAGGAATATGAGATTCCTGAGATCTCATTTGCCATAGAAGGACTTCTCAGGAGAAAAAGCAGCAGGAGTTTCAGGAGCGACTTGCAACCTTCCCTGCTAACTTCCCTTTGCTTGTGGGAAACTGGCAGGGAAGGTCACAAATGGTGATCATGTGACTGTAGGGACACTCTGATGGCTGAAACTTCATGGTTGCTGAATGAGTGATCGTAGGTGGAGGACTACCTCTAAACAGAATCAATTCATTCCAAAACATAATATATTAGTTGGAAGAAACACTTCCATTCAGTAATACTAACTGTGACTGGAGCAGCATGTAACATTTTAAATTCATTCTCAAACCTGTAGCATCAATCATTCAGAAACACAACATCAGTTGATATTATATATCAATAATACTCAAAGCCGTCTCAGACGCACTAACGTTTTTCGGCATTGTCCAGGATTGATAAATGAGACAGCCAGCAGCCTATCACTTTCGCCAAACCATCAGATTTCTTCCATATGGCAGTCAAGAGCTCTTCTATGTCACCCCACCCCACCCCACTTCATTTTGGAGAGCAATAGAAAGGAGAAGAGGGAAACGCGCCACTCATGTTTGGCTGCTCCTGCTGGTTTGGGCTTCTGCCAGTATTCAGAGACTCAACCCACAAGTTACTGAGCCACTCAGTGTTTCAAGCACTGAAAGAAATGCTTCCCTGTAGATAAATATCCACATTTTCTCAGCTGAGTTGGGAGATGGAACAGAGAGGCAGGAGTGAGACTACAAATGGCTTTCCGGAAAGTATTGATTCTGCAAATCCAGCACCAGGTCAATATGACCCAAGCCCTCCAAACGGCAAGGTATTGTATTCTTATGACATTGACCTACAACAGCCATGTGTAGTGTGTGAACCCAAAATAGGATTATTAAACATGGCTAAGTCCATTGTTTAAATACAGCCAATTGTTTCCCAGTCATTGCTCAGCAGGCAGTGGCAACTTCTGGATATGCATCAAAGCCCAGCGTTTTTCAGAACACCGGGAAACCTTTTATATGTTTTAAGTAGAGGTTGCTTTTCTATTAGAAGAGGAACAGAAGCCTTGTGCCCTGTCCTTTGCATGTAGCTCTTAGAAGCACATGCAGCAAAGGAGAGCTCATTGCCTCTCTTATTTTGGTCTTCCACTGCTCTCACCATTAAAGAGCTTTTCCTGACGTTCACTCAGAATCTTGTAATTTGTGACCATTATCCCTCTTCCCTGCATTCTGGGGTAAAAAAGATCCAGTCTCTGCTTTTTTTTAAATGAGATTTTTTTTTGAGCTACTTGAAGAGCACTGTTATCACATAGTCCTCTCAATCTGGCCAGGTTGGACTAATTCCCAATTTCATCCCTTCCATTGCTGAGGCCACAGTTTGTCCAAGTTTGAAGGATTCTTCGAGATGAGAAATGGCACCCCAAGGCAAAGAGTTTACCCTCGTTAAAATAATGATTGAAATGGGTAACGTGAGGTTAAAACACAAGGAAGTAATTCATGACATGACAGTTGAAAGATAGCAGAACTAAAACATTCAGCAACACTTCTATTCTTTAAAAAAGCAGATTATAAGATAAAAAGTTGGAAGCAAAGAGACCTTTACCAGGAATCAACCATTGTATTTATCCAAAAGGGAGATGACCCCAAAATCAAGACAATCCCCTTAAAGCAGAGGTCCCCAACCTTTTGGGAACCAGGGACCAGTTCCATGGAACGAGGTTTTTCTGCGGACCGGAGGGGGTGTGGTTTCATGTACTGCCTGCATCCTGCAGATGGGGCTTTGCTTGTTTGCGCGGACCAGTTTCTGGCATGCTGCAGCCCGGTGCCGGTCCATGGACCGAGAGTTGGGGTTCTCTGCCTTAAAGGAAGGAGAGAAGAGACAGAAAAAAATTAAATAAATAAACACTGTACAATTACCAGCTCCTCCCCTTTTTCAATGTAGGATTGTCAGCTCAAGCTGAAACCAGAGCCAAAAATCCCGCCCCACTCAAAAAAATATGTCTCTGTGTGACTTGTACACGAGTGTGGTATATATTTCTGCATACAGATACTTGCCAGAAGCCACAAAAAAAGATAGGGGCAGAAAACACGCACACACACATTATCCATTAATAGCATGGATTAAAATCAACTGCCTGTAAAATGAGGTAGCCCATTTAAGAAATTAATTGATCCCTGCCTGCACATACCAACTGTTCTCTCTCTCTCACCCTCAACCCCTCTCAAAGACACACGCAAACATTGCCTTCTCCTCTTTCCAGCAGAAACAGCAAAAAAAGAAAATAACAACCTGAAGTTGGGGTAAGGAAAGAGAAGGAAAGGAAGGAAAAGCCAGATTGGGTAGTAATATAGTGTGGCCAAAACACAATGGACAGGAAAGAAAAAAGGGAGAGAATCCCTACTAATGCATTAATTTTAAAAAAGGGCTAACATAAATAGCCTCTCTGAAATCACGTTTCACCTTCTGGTTAATCTTCAAAGATGTCTCTCTTGTTCCACAGACAAGTAGCCCAGCTTTGCTGATTTTTTTCTACCTCCTGTCCAATCCTTCATTTTCAGACCATGTAAGGTAGCCCTCCCATGTTTGGAGGAAAAAGTTGGTAAATAAGTGCAGTGGATTCAGTCTGAAGGAGCACAGCACAAAGTAGAAGAACCAAGCTTTATGGCAACTATTGTGCTTTCTTGCTTTACAAGACAGAGAGATCCCCAACATCCAGTTTTGGTCACCACGATGTAAAAAAGATGCTGAGACTCTAGAAAGAGTACAGAGAAGAGCAACAAAGATGATTAGGGGATTGGAGGCTAAAACATATAAGGAACAGTTGCTGGAATTGGGTATGTCTAGTTTAACGAAGAAAAGGACGAGAGGGGACATGATAGCAGTGTTCCGATATCTCAGGGGCTGCCACAAAGAAGAGGGAGTCAAGCTATTCTCCAAAGCGCCTGAAGGCAGGACAAGAAGCAATGGATGGAAACTAAGCAAGGAGAGAAGCAATCTAGAACTAAGGAGAAACTTCCTGATAGTTAGAACAATTAACCAGTGGAACAACCTGCCTCCAGAAGCAGTGAATGCTCCAACACTGGAAGTTTTTAAGAAGAGACTGGACAGCCATTTGTCCAAAATGTATAGGATTTCCTGCCTGAGCAGGGGGTTGGACTCGATGACCTCCAAGGTCCCCCTTCCAACTTTATTATTATTATATTATGGATCATCGCACAGTCAGCCAGATGTTCAGACTGGATTTGGCATTTTGTCTACCTATCGAGTCCTTACCCAGGACCTGGGATAGGCAGATGTGGATGTTTGATGGTATTACAGGTATCGTCGCAGGATGGAAGCAGTTCCTAGTAAGGCCGCCTTTTGCAATTGACTAATAGCGAATTTGTCAATGCCAATGGTGTTCAAGTGGTGCTCCAGTTGTTTTGGGATTGCACCCAAGGAGCCTATTACTATTGGTACTACCCTTGCTTGCTTTTGCCACAGTCTTTCTATTTCTATTTGTAGGTCTTTGCATTTTGTTATCTTCTCCAGTTCTTTCTCGTCTATTCTGCTGTCTCCAGGCACTGCTGCGTCCACTATCCAGACTTTTTTGTCTTTCTTATCGACAATTGTTAAGTCTGGGGTGTTATGTTGCAGGTTGCTTGTCTGTTTGAATTCTGAAGTCCCAGAGCAGTTTAATTTTATCATTTTCTATGACTTTCTCTATTTTATGATCCCACCAGTTTTTGCTTATAGGCAAATGATATTTTTTGCAGATCTTCCAATGCACCATTGTTGCTACTTTGTCATGCCGCTGCTTGTAGTCAGTCTGTGCAATCTTCTTGCAACAGCTTACCAGGTGGTTCACTGTTTCTTCAGCTTCTTTGCATAAGCGGCACTTACTGTCTGTTGCTGTCTTCTCAATTTTGACTTTATATGCATTTGTCCTTAAGGCTTGGTCTTGTGCAGCCAGAATTAGTCCCTCAGATTATTATTATTATTATTATTATTATTATTATTATTATTATTATTATTGTTGTTGTTGTTGTTGTTGTTGTTGTTGTTGTTGTTGTTGTTATGAAGGAAACTCCTTTATTAGGGTTGCCCTTGGGAGTGGGTAAGGTTCCTGTTCTTTGGGTTAGATGAGATCGCACATGGGGGGGGGGCTTTGTCTTGGGATAAGAGAGTCAATTTGGATCTGATAGAATTAGGTGAAGAGATGAAGTGGGTTTGACTCCAGTGGGTTTGATGTCCAAAAAGATGGGGGAGGGGTGAGAAGCAGCTTCCATTTTATTTGTTAAATTTATTTTCTCCTCTAACTCAAATTAAGGGATTACAGGGTAGTAAAAAGGGAGGGTTGTTTTTTCCCCCTCCACTCCACTACATACAATATAGGGAGCTGCATATTTTGAATGCTATAGAGATACTAGCATCCTTTGTATTTGTCCTTCTGACAAGGCTTCCCAGAAATTGGGGTACTTTGATTTCTGTCCCCCAGGATCCAGCTAGTCATGCAATTGATTTAGTTCCTATGTTTATAAAAATGTGCATTTATCATTTGTATATGACCCTGCCCCAAATTTGAATGTGTGAGAGCAAAAGAAGTGGAGAAGGTACTTGCTTTTCCATCCAAGGGATGCACAAAACAGTTTATAATGCTAAACACTAACAGCTAGTTATGCTGAGACTGTTCCCTCATAAACTCATTTAGTATCAAGACAGGGCAAGAAATGGCAAGGAGCTTAATGCTATATTCCAGTCTCCTGGAATAAAATGGTTTTAATTGGATCAATAGGGATTGCAATTCTGTGATCTTTACTGGCAAATCTTTTCTAGAATTCATTCGAAATGCCAAAGTCCAAGAAGATGTCAGGCTCACTTGACCAGAAGGTAGTGATGGCTCAGCAGGACCCTCAGAGGAAGCACTTTGTGAGATTTCACACATGCACCCAGCACAACCTTTGAGTCATCAGTGGCAAGATTGCTGGATGGGAGCAACAATGACTGTCTCTGCATTTCTGTCAAAGTATAAATGCTGCACAAGAAAGCCTCCTATGTAATATAACTGTGCTCTGTATGATAATAGTGGCTTAAGAGAGTCAGCTTTTACATTTCATATTTTTCCTTGCTCTTAATAATGCTGCTTTCTATTCTGAGCCCCTATGAATAGGTTGCGAGATAAATCAAAACTGTACTGTAGCACTGTAACAGTGCAAAGCTTCCTTGAATGATGGTGCTGAATTTCCTCTTAGGGAAAATGCAAGTGTGTGTGTGTGTGTGTGTGTGTGTGTGTGTGTGTGTGTGTGTAGAATATGCCTCCATAATGAGCTTTTTAGTATATAGCGGAATGAAATAATAGAAGTAGAATCACTCTGGACAATTGGAAAAGACATTCTTTCTACATATTCTTTTCCTCCTTCTGCTGCTGAACATCAGTCACTTCTGTAAGTGATAACAGAAGATAATAAGTGGAAGAGTGCAGGGTGGGGGGAAACTAGATAGTACAGGATATAAAAATGGAGAGAAGGATAATGGCCATGATAGGCAGGGGAAAATGGGGCAAGTCCTTCCAGAGGCAATGTAGTTCTGACCTGTACTTCTTGCCCCTGGACAAGGAAACAAGGAAGCAGTAATTTTATTTCTGGGTGCTCCAGACTCAGGACAATGCTACTAGGAGCGCTGGTGGCACGGTGGTTAGAATGCAATATTGCTGACAAACTCTGCCCGCAGCCTGGAGTTCAATCCTGACAGAGCTCAAGATTAACTCATCCTTCCATCCTTTTGTGGTCAGTAATATAAGGACCCGGATTGTTGGGGGCAATACGCTGACAGTGTAAACTACCCAGAGAATGCTGTAAAGCACTATGGAGCAGCATATAAGTCTAAGCGCTATTGGTATTAAACACCAGGTCTGTAGGTAATAAAACCAACCTCTTCCAGAATTTAACTGTGAGCCAGAAGAAAGACCTGGCATGTATCCCCAAGATCTAATTGGAAGAAATGGACATCTTTCTCATGAAGAGCTCTTCAGCTAGCTTTTGGATCTCATATCAATCCTGACTTTAGGGCAGGACAGGTGATGTGGCAATTGTGTACCAAGAGACCCCCAGAAGTTGCAAGCTGTGCTATTTGGAGGTTTCAGGAACATGAGGTCTTGCTCATATTGCTGGGCCAAAGGACAAGCTGGGGCTACTGTTGTATTGTCCTCCTAGCTGCACAGCAGCCTTCTTCACTGAACTATTTAATTTTATTGTAGGATAAGTTGTGCATTTACTCAAATTATTGGTACTGACTAATTTCAACTTTTTATTTCTGGGATTGAAAGCAGCTATGGCAATTGTTTCCTTTCCTTTCCTTTTCATTTTACTAGTATTAGTTTTTATCTTATTAATTGTAATGCACAATAAAATAGTTATAAAAAATCATTTCCCTGGTGTGTACCTAAAGTCATCTATCTGGCAATTTTTCCAGCTGCCTTGCTCCTTGGAGGAAGAGCAGCTCTGCTGCTAGTAAATTGACTTTGTTTTCTTAGATTAGTCCGCAAACATTACAAAATGACTGTCACTATCCAGGACCATTTCTGTGGCAGGAAAAAAACTATACTGTACTGCCTGAATGAAAAATAAAGCCAAAGTTAACTTGTTTGTGATCTGAATGCAAAAGATAATAATGCGGTACAATGCAGACTCTCGTTTTTGGAAATCCGATTCTTTTAGGCCTGAAGAAAATCTTGTCCAAAACATCTTAGGAAACTCAAAGGTTATTCATTCAATTATTTGAAAATTAGCTTTGTGCCTTTTCATTTTCAGTACAAAAACATGATGACATGTAATGGACTGAAAACAAGAACTGGTATAACAAGGAAATGCTCCAATGTA